TGCGATCCCACTCTGCTAACCTTGAACAGCACTTCCGGATGCGCCGCATATTTCTGCCTGCATATCTGCGCATGCGCACTCCAACAGACTTCTGCCAACACCTCCAACCTCGACTCAGACAGAAACCAGTCCATCTTCAGTCTGTACTCTGACAGTGTTCCTGACTCTGACAGTAATTCCAACTTCTGACAGTATTCCTGACTTTGACAGGAGATCTACATCAAACCTCCTGCTGGAGTCCCAACAACACCAGGAAAGGTGTGGTTGCTGAAGAAGGCCCTGTATGGCTTAAAGCAAGCCAGCCTGGAATGGTACCGCATGCTCCAAAAGCACCTGAAGATCAGCAATCTGGATATGATCCATGCTTATACTATGCAGTGTAGGTGGGCACATGTCAGGGACTCGTCCAGGGTCGAGGGAGCCTGGGTGTAGCATCCAGGGCTGAGAGCCTGGCAGGGGGCGGATCAGGCATGCGTACTGACAGGCCCGATGCGGGACAACAGTCCCTGGCTACTTAGACTGAAGTGGAAAGATGAGAAGAAGGCTACTTCTTCGGTTCCCACTTCAGGTATGTTTATATACATGCAGCTTGGGTCACCTGATGGATGCCAGGTCACCCTTGCACACAGCCATAACCACCTGGGTGTCTCTGTGGGAGATCCCGAGGGCATCCGGTGCAAGCATGCATGCTGGGCACAGCAGGAAGTCGCCCAAGGTGCCCAGGCCAGGTGTGTCGTGGGCATGCTGCAGGTGGGTCAATGGTACATTGATACAAGGAAAGGTCATCCGTGTAAAATAAAGAGAAAATAAAGAAGAAGTAAAATAGAAAGAGAATGAGGAAGCAGAAGTGAGGAGGGAAAAGGAAAGGGGGAGGAGGTCGAGGAGGGGTGGACAGTGGGGTACCGGGTCAGGTGGGGCCAGGTGGAGCTGGGTCAGGTGGGTGTGCCTGACAGCACAGCCGGTACCACACAAATGAGCCAATTATCGCGATTCTACCACCCACGTCAAGCACCCCACTTCCAAAACCCATCTACCACTGTTTCACATACCCCTTCCACATTTCCCATATTTTTTCCGATTTTTTAAAACCATTCCTGACTATGCACAACCATCAGTTTCCAAATTGGGCAACTGTCACCCACCCAGAGTGGCGAATACGAAGCCAAAGAGGCTCAAGATATAGTGCAGGGACAGAGTTCCCTTTAGTTTGATTATCAGTGAGATTTACGAGTTTATCATTTTTATCACATTGCACCTGGACCATTTCTCCCCCCCCCTTACAGTGGATCACTCACATTTCATCCTTGTCTATGTCGACAATTTGCTACTCATTGCTCCGAAGTCCGAGTTGGCCAACATGAAGGCCGAGGTTACTGGAAAATTTGAGATGCGGGACCTAGGAGAAGTCCATTGGATTTTAGCAATGGAAATTACACGTGATAGAGCTGCATGTACTATTACGATAAGCCAGCAACAATATGTCACTGACATCCTCATGCAATTCAGGCTGGAAAAAGCACAACCAATGAGTACCCCAATGGCCACAAACTTAAAACTTGAAAAGTTGAACTCACCAGAAATCAATCAAATGCTTTACCAATTGATGCTTGGGTCACTAATGTATGCAGCGATCAGTACCTGCCCGGATATTTCTTTCGCTGTTGGACTATTATCTCAACTGTTAGAGACTGGATGCAAGACGAAGGATGCATCTCCATGGTGGAGGGCTTCAGCCTCAGTGACTCAGACCAGGAGCGCTGTGCCAAGTTACATGTCCATGCCCTAATTCACTTACTGGCAGCAAGAACTAAAAAGGGGGCTTAACTCTAGTCGATTTTATCACTAGGGTGCAACCTATCTACAAGTTATGTATATATAGTTACAGCGAGGGTGGGCCCATGAATGGCAGGGCCAAGCTGAGCGGAGCTAACGGAGTTATGATGAGTCAGGTTATGGGGTTAGTGGAATGGCAGGATATAACTGTCAGGGCACACCTGCCTGACCTGGGTCCACCCAGCCACCCCCGGCCACACCTCACCTGCCTGCCCATCCCTCTCCTTCCTCCCTCCTCCCTCTTTCCTTCTTTCTTTTCTCTCTTTCTTCTCTTTTCTTTATTTCATTCTTCCCATCATTCTCTTCCTGTTTATTCCTTCTATCTACATGGACCACATTCCTTTGTATCAATGTACTATTGACCCGTCTGGCCCAGACACCCTGGACAGCTTCCCACCATGCCCAGCATGCACACCTACAGCGGACACTCTTGGGATCCCCTGCAGGGACACCCAGATGGCCGCAGCTGTCTCCGAGGATGATGTGGCACCCATCATGTGACTCAAGATGCATGTACATAAATGTACCTGAAGTGGGAACCGAAGAAGTAACCTTCTTCTCACCTTTTCCACTTCAGTCTGAGTGGCCAGGGACTGCTGTCCCTTTCCGGGCCTGCCAGTATGCATGCCTGATTTACACCCCGCGAGGGCCCCTCTGCCGGGCATTACATCCGGACCCCCTCTACCCCAGATGCATCCCTGACAATAACCCAGAAATGGAAAGGAGGGATAGGCCCAAAGGTAGGCTTGCAGGGCAAGCAACTGAATTGCCCAGCAGGGGCAGGAGTGTGCTAGCGGACATCGGAGCTGTCTGGAGGCCATCGGGGTTCTGTACTTAGGGAGGCATAGGTAATATATTGAATTGAGGGGGTGGTGACCATCAAGGGAGTCAGAGGTGATTGCAGAATATGGGGGCTCCAAGGTTAGTGATGAAGGAGCAGAGGTAGTCCAGAGGAGGATGATGGCTGTAGATGGATATGACATCAACATGCTGTGGCTCCCAGACAACAACACCTATCCGCTATTAAGCAGGTGTACCAATATCTGAATGGGATGCACGACTTAGTCTTGACATTCAATGGAAAGAGGTTGAAAGAGGGGGTATGGGGATATTCTGATGCCGATTGGGCTGGAGATCCTAGCACAAGGAGATCAGTGTCAGGTTATTGCTTTATTTTTGGTGGTGCCGCAATAGCGTGGTCTTTGAAGAAGCAACCAACAATCACTTTATCAAGCACAGAGGCCGAGTACATGGCCACAACACATGCTGGAAAAGAAGCTACATACCTTGACAACTTATTCGACGATTCCAGGATGTTTTCCGACGAAATCCCAGTCAAAATCTTCACTGACAACCAATCAGCACTCGCTATTGCCAAAAATCCTGTATTCCATGCTCAAACAATGCATATTGATGTGCGACATCATTGGATCCGCAAGAAAATCGAGAATGGTATCTTGGAGCTTGAATATATCCCTACAGCTGATCAGGTTGTGGACATATTCACCAAAGCGCTGCCACAGGTAAAATATGTGAAGTTTAGATCGGAGTTGGGTCTAAGGTAAAGTCAACAAGCATTGAGTGGGCATGTTGGAGTAGCAATGACTTACCAACCAACACCACATGATCTCTCTTACATCTGTATTCACCTTGTGACACAATGTATATAATTGTATATACTGTTTTTGCTCTACTTTCCTTTTCCCCTCAGTTCTTCATTTACAGAGACTGAGGTTAGTATCATTGTTTTTAGTTAGTTGTTGTTGTTACAATACTTACTCTGTACTCTTCTGTACTATAGCTCCCACATTAGGTTAGTATAACTGTAGTAATTTAGTTCTTCATTTACGGAGACTGAGCTCCTGCATTAGCCCTCCTATTAGATACATGCTTGGATATATATATGGGTGCGGCCACACAATCGATAGAATTCAACGATCTCCACAACGGCTCCACCAAATCTCCCGATGTTAAACTTGTTCGACTCGTCCTGATGGTAGCTTTCCAACAATATCAAATGTGTCTGGATCAGAGAAGAACTGGGGGAGTTATGGTGAAAATACTGTAAAAGCGGCCTGATATAGAAACTAAGTGGCCATAACCTGGTCTGGAAAAATATCAAAAAATACAGGGATGATGGGGGAAGTGCAATGGGCTTTGGGGGGCTGGGGGATTGTGTGTCGGGTCCCAGGTAACGTCTGTAGACCATTATATGGTGCTGTTTGGGTACTACCGGCTCATCCCTCCTACAATGTCTGTATGTATGTAAGATGGTAAGATGATAGTGGTTGTGAGTATCTCCCAGTCCATCAGAGATACACTATAATAGGCTGTATAATCAACGGGAGAGTAAAGGCTGTCCAGCCTTAACTCGCAATGTAGCACTGTTGTGTGAAGTTACAAACTCATTATAATATACTATGTTACAAGTGATAACAAGAGTAAAAGAGTTAGGAGGGGGTGCATATCCCTTCCTTACACTCTCCTCCCTTGCGATATTAATATCGCAACAGGAAGGTGTGTACCAAAATGTAGAGACGGTCCAAGAGATTTCAAGAAATTCAAGAGAAACATAAAGAAATTCGAGGTGATTAGGCCTTGGGGCAACCAGTAGCAGCATTACTGTAAGTTAAAGGTGAAAGGTGGTTAGGCCTTTCAACATCAGTCATCACCGATGAAGTTAGAAAAAAGGGGGTTTGTAAGGGGTTGGTGTAGGTTCCAACCCCAGTTAGCCTCAGTCCTCAGTTCATCGAATATTAAGCTGTATAGAGCTATGATTATTCAATGATGGGGAGGAAAAAAGCTTAGTTGCCTTTTCCCAAATTCCCACATTATTGTATATACATTGTTTATACATGTTTATTATGAGACAGATATAGAATTAAGATGGAGAGTAAGGGGTGGGGTTACCATTCCTTGCAGGGTTCAAGGGAAAATAAAGCAAAGCGGTCAGGCTTTTGGGTCGAGCAGTTAGGCTCTTGGGTAAGAATTAACGCAAAGTGATCAGGCTTTCATTGTGAAGTAAGGTGGTAGGGAAGAAAAAACTTCTAATAATGCCACATGTAGTTAAACCCTTTGTACTGATTATTTTGTCGGCAAAGGAGAATATAAGTGGAGGCGGTCAGGCCTCTCAACAGTGAAAAAGAAAAGGAAAATTAATGGGGCAGTTAGGCCTTCATGATTTTGATCATTAACAATGACAAAGTCGATGCTAATGTTATCAGACAAAGGCGGTTAGGCCTTTTTTGTTTGCCCTTTCGGGCCATGGTGCTAGGTCCGGGCATATTAGCCTGCGGATTTGTCGAAGGCCCGGCTCCATCATCCTCAGCTGCTGCCATATGCTGGCACTGAGCTGCAGGGAAGCACCTTGTTGTCAAGGTTGCAGGTGGAACAGCTTCAGCCTGTTCCACGAAACTCGACTCTCCACTCATTGATGTATCCTCAGAGTCGAGGGGAGGAACAGCGCTCACCTCTGGAGGAGGTGGCGGAAACCCCTGGATAGGGTGGGATGTAGGCGGTGGCGGTGCAAATTTGCCCACTTGTAGCCTGGATAGGCCATAAGCAGTCATATTTGCTGCTTTTCTCACCTTTGTCAGAGACCAGGTTGAGACGAAGGAGTGTCTCCATGGTGGAGGGCTTCGTGTCAGGGCACATACCCTGACTTAGCCCGGACCCGGACCCGCGTCCGGACCCGCTCCACTTCCCGCACGCGCTTCCTGCGCCGCATGATCTGTGTGCCGCATGCTCTGGTCCCCGGATCCTACCTTCATGTGACTTCCGGGTATCCCCGGAAGTTTTCGCCATATTGGGGCCACTGTGGGAAAGTGAGAAGTTAACCTTCTTCTCACTTTCTTACCCACAGTAGGCAAGTGTAGCCTACTTTCTATTTATCTATACACTTTCTTACCCACAGTAGCTATGCCCTGAGATGGGCTGTGTTTACAGGCCAGACTGTGGACTGTAGAGAGGGGTCATGGGGACCCGGGGTCTGTCCCCTGACACTTCGGCCTCAGCGACTTATGCCAGGAGCGCTGTGCCAAGTAACATGTCCGTGCCCTAACTTACTAAACTGGCAACCAGAACTGACGGGGGTAAACTCTAGTCGATTTTATTACTGAGGTGTAACCTATGTACAAGTTGAGTATATATAGTTACAATGAGAGCGGGCCCGCAAATGGTGGAGCCGAGTGGAGCAGAGCTAACGGGGTTAGACATTAGCCGATTGAATATTACTGACGAGTCGGGTTACGGGGTTAACGGAATGGTAGGCGATAACCCAGAAACGGAAAGGAGGGATAGGCCCGAAGGTGGGCTTTGCAGGGCAAGCGAGTGTATTGCCCAGCGGAGGCGGGAGTGCGCTAGCGGACGTCGGAGCTGTCTGGAAGCCTTCGGGGCTCCGTACTTAGGGAGGCGTAGGTAATAAATTGAAAAGAGGGGGTGGTGACCATCGAGAGGTACCGAGGCGATTGTGGAATACGGGAGCTCTGAGGTTAGTGAAGAAGGAGCGGAGGTAGACTGGAGGGATCGGAGGGAGTAGAAGTCGATGGCTGGGGATGGATATGACAGTATCCCCTTGAAGGCCCAGAATTAGTAAGGTGAGGGGAGCTGTACTTACAGAAAAGAAAAAACGAAAATGGAAGTGAGGAGTGGAGAGAAAGGGAGAGATGGGAGAGGAGTTGGGGTTCCTAAGGGGCTTCGGGTCCAGGCTTATCTGGATACCGAGAGTGGAACACTTCGATGAGGTCAGAGGTGTGATCGAGTTTGCCGGCAAGGAGCCATTGTGTCTCCTCATTGGTCCCTTCATAGCCTAGCCACTTGACCAGGTAGAGCAACTTGTTGCGTCTACATCGGTTGATCTTGGAGTCGAGTATCTCCTCCATCTCGAACTCCATCTCACCTTCGATTTCTATGGGAGGCGGAGGTGGCTGGTGGCGGTTCGGAATGATGTTTGGGATGGAGGGTTCGATCTGCGAGACATGGAATACCGGGTGAATGGCTCGCATGTTTTCCAGCAGGTGGAGGGTGAGGGAGTGAGTTCCTATGCAGGCAATGATCTCGAATGGGCCGAGGTTTTTCTCGGAAAGCTTTTTGGAAGGTCAGGTGGAGTGGAAATACTTGGCCTTTACATAGACCGAGGCTCCTACTTCGAAAGCTGGGGCAGGACTCCGACAGGAGTCTGCCGGGCCCTGATAACGGATCTGAGTGAGGTGCATTTCCTTGCGAAGGAAGTGATGGAGGGAGTCGAGATCTACAGAGTACTCCTGGGCGCGTACTGATGTTAGATCCCACTCCGGGTGAACGGTGATGTTCAGATGGTAGCCTTTGTTGGCGAAGAACGGGGAGACACCTGTGGTGGCATTCGGAGCATTGTTGTATGCAAACTCCATGAGAGGCAGGAGTTCGGACCAATTGTCCTGCTGGTAGTTACTGTAGATGCACAGGTACTGCTCGAGTGTCTGGTTCATCCGTTCGGTCTGACCGTCTCCTTCTGGATGATAACCGGAGGTGAAGTGGAGGCGGATGTCGAGGGCCTTACCAAGTGAATGGAAAAAATGAGAGACAAACTCCGGACCCCTGTCAGAGGTGACATGGGAAGGAACTCCATGCTTGGAGAACACATGGAGGAGGAAGAGCTTGGCCAGTTCCGGAGAGGTGATGGTGTCGTGGGTAGGAATGAAAATGCACTGTTTAGACAGGCAGTCCACGATGACCAAGATGGAAGTGAATCCGGAAGAGGAGGGTAGCTGTTCAATGAAATCCATGGAGATGGAGTTCCAAGGACGTTTGGGGATGGGGAGTTGTTTGAGCAAGCCATAAGGCTTATGACAGGGGACTTTGGCATGGGCACAAGAAGTACAGGAGACGTAGCTCTTAACGAAGTTATGGATGCCCGGCCAGGTATACTCACGACGCACTAGGTCCGGAGTCCGGTTTTGACCAAAGTGTCCGGAAAGTTGGTGGTCGTGTTTGTCTCGCAAAATGCGGAGATGGAGATTGTTGGAATCCGGAACGTAAATGCGGTTGTCCAGCCTTAACAGGCCTTCAGCATCAACGGACCAGCGGGAATTGGGGAGGGTGGGGGAAGCGAGATGAGAAGAGATTGTGGTATCGGAGGAGAGGGAGGCTAGAATGTCTCGATGGAGAGCCTCTGTGTCGACGAGTATGGCTGCTCGGATTACTGTGGCAGCTAGGAACGTGGCTCGTAAGGACGCAGTGAGCTGCTCTGAAGTGAAGACCGGTCGGAAGTCCTGCAGATTGACGCAAGCGTAGTCCATATCCCCTTCTTTGGGATAGACATCCCAGCGTCCAGTCAACGCATCTGGTTTTACTCCGAGTCTTCTGGGACAGAATCGGACAGTCATGTGGAACTGGGAGAGGAACTCTGACCAGCGGGCTTGCTGCCAGGTCAAGAGTTTGGTGGTGGAAAAATACTCAAGGTTCTTGTGGTCGGTAACGATGTCAATTGGAGTTCCTGAACCTTCAAGGTAGTGATGCCATGATCGGAACGCATCATGGATGGCGAGCAGTTCCTTATCATGGGTGTCGTAGTTGAGCTCCGGCGCCGAGAGTGTTCTAGAGCAGAAAGCGACGGGGCGAATCTCTCCATCATCACAACAGATGGACAGGATTCCGGAGATTGCATAATCAGAGGCGTCGGTTTCTACAATGAGGGGGGCGTCAGGTAGCCAATGTGTCAGGATAGGAGCAGAAGTGAAGGCTTCTTTCAAGGTGTTGAAAGCAGAGTGACAGTCGTCAGAGAATAACCAGGGGGCTCCTTTACGTGTAAGGCGTGTCAAGGGGACCACAATGTCGGAGTATTGGTGGATGAAACGCCGATAGAAGTTAGCGAAGCCAAGGAAGGACTGGACATCCTTGACTTTACGGGGCTCAGGCCAATCTTGGATGGCTTTAACCTTCTCGCTGGACATGGTGAGTCCGGAGGGAGAAAGGCAGTATCCGAGATATTCCGTAGTGTCCATATGAAATTCGCATTTCTTCGGATTGGTGTATAGGCCGTGTTTGTGGAGTCTCCTAAGAACTTCTTGGACATGCTCCTGATGTGAAGCCATGTCTTCCGAGTAGGTAAGGATGTTGTCTAGGTAGACTACCACAGAAACGTCCAAGAGGTCGGCGAAGATCGTGTTGACGAATCGCTGTAAGGCCATGGGTGCATTTGTGAGACCGAATGGCATGACAAGCCACTCATAGGAACCATAGTGCGTGCGGAAGGAAGTCTTCCATTTGTCGCCTGCTGCAATGTGAACCAGGTGGTAAGCATGCCGGAGGTCGAGTCTGGTGTAGACTGTGGCACGGCTAGGTGTGTCAAGGAGGTCGGAGATGCGGGGGAGTGGGTAGCGATCCTTTTTGGTGATCTTGTTCAGCCCTCGGAAGTCAACGCAAAGACAGAGGGATCCATCCTTCTTGCAGATGAAGAGGACCGGTGCCGCACAAGCGGAAGTGGCGGGACGAATGAACCCGGAGGCAAGGTGTTCATCTAAGAACACCTGGAGGGCCTTGAGTTCCGAAGTAGAGAGAGAGTACATGGTACCCAAGGGTGGTGAAGTGCCTTCCTCAAGGTCGATCTTCAGCTCGTGCTCACAGTGCGGTGCCAGTGTCGAGGCTTTGCTCTTACTGAACACATCTGCAAACTCGTGATACTCCTTCAGAACGGCCGAGAGGTCAACGGAATCGGTGTGGGATGAGGCAGCTCTCAAGCGGCTGTCCTCGGAAGGGATGGTTAGGCTGAAGGATACCGATCCTTCAAGTCGACAAGCCTTCGTGAATGCGGAACGGCTGACGAACTCGATAGATGGTAATGGAGGAATGGGAGCCTGTGACTGAGGTGCTGGCAGAACATCAGATGGTTGGATGTCGGACAACAGCAGTGGTGCCGGAGACGATGGGGGAGAGCTTGGAGTAACTGTCTTGGTAGGTTCGGAAGTTCAGAACGTAATACTGCTTGAGACCCAGTCAATCAACAGATTGTAGCGGGTAAGCCAGTTGTGTCCTAGGACTAGGGAACATGATCCATCCAGCGATGTGACAAAGAAAGTCGTGGGGGTGATGTTTCCGGAAGCGAAGCAGAGGGGAATATCAATGGCATGGGTTATGATTGAGTTGGTGCTACCGTCGAATAGGCGTAGTTGTAGGGGTTTAATCTGATATGTCTTCAAGGCCAACTTCTTTACGAATGTGTCGTCGATGAAGCAGTCCGAAGAACCAGAGTCTATGAGTGCAGGTACGTTCTCATAGGAGCGGAAAAGTTTATTTTGTGTCCTATCATTGGACGGAGGAGAAGGGACAGGAGAAGAGAAAGAAGAGGAACGGAGAGAGGTGGATCGATCTACGGAAGTAGTTGGAGGGGGTGGAGGAGAGAGTGGTACATCAGCAACACTATCTACAATGGGTAGAACATTAACCGGAGGGTCAACATTGAGAGGAGAAAATAGACCATTTGAAAGAGAAAAAGAAACGGGAATATGGAAGGAGGATAAGTCGGAGATGGAAGACGCGTTTAAACGCACTTCTTTGAGCACACAGAGGGAAGAATCGCAACCCCTGGTCCGTGCGGAGTCCATGGGGGTGCGGACTAATTTTTTGCTTCTGCGGAAGCGGATCCTTGCTCC